AAAAAAAAAAAAAAAAAAAAGTTGTCGAAAATGACAAAAGTGCACGTTTCAATAAGGCCTGGGGCTAGGTCTCACTTGCACGAATTAAGAGATACTGACCGTAGATAGCAAAGATCAACAGCCGGAATCTCCTAATTTGCGCAAGTGGGACCTTGCCCCTGATGTCTGAAACAGCGGCTGATGTTATTTTTGCCTTTTCTTACTGCGGCGGGGATGGACCTGCCCACAGGTGTTTTTTTTGCCTATTGGAAACGTGGGTTGTGACCCACGAGCCGTTTCCCCTTTTTTTTTTTTTTTTTTTTTTTTTTTGTGTGTGTATGTGTGTGTGTGTGTGTGTGTGTGTGTGTGTGTGTGTCTTTATGTGTGTGTGTGTGTGTGTGTGTGTGTGTGTGTGTGTGTGTGTGTGTGGGTGTGGGTGTGTGCGTTTTTTTTTGTGTGTGTGTAAGAGAGAGAAAGAGAGACCCCACACAACAACTTGATCTGTACATGTACCTGGACCCCACACGACAACTTGATCTGTACATCTACCTGGACCCCAGCAGCGACCACAAGTCCATGAGGGCTACCGGTAGTCCAGTGGGGGGAACTGGCAGAGTGGCAAAATTCGAAAATGCATTGAATTACCCCCGCGATTTATTTCGCGGTTGAAATGATTTTCTTTTGTTTTTGAAATTTTTTTTCTGTAAAGATCACGACGAAATCTATAGACTCTCAAATTTGCAGAGTTGTCGGGTCATCCTTCTGATTGCGAAAAATCGTGAAAGTTTGGTTTTTTTTCTCGTTGGCCCAAACGTGGTAGAGTAGTAAAAATGAAAAATGTGATAAAACAGCGCGGCATTTACTTCACCGTTAAGTTTTTATTTTTTTTTCATTTTTCTGATATTTTTTCTGGAAAGATCACGGCCTAATTTACAGGATATCAAATTTTCAGATTTTTTTGCCAATGTTTCTGAGCGCGAAAAATCGTCAAAGTTCGCGCTTGAAAATGTTTGGCCCGGACCTGCTTGTGCCTGCTGGTCGCCGCCCCCCTTAAGAACTCGGTAAGGGCAGGAAAGTCCATTTCAGGCCGGCGGGGGTCACATTGTGCAATGTGAGGGTTCGGACACACAGGCACATCCTGACGTGCTAGCAGCCTGACGTCAGATACATTTCAAAAGACAGTAGTCCCCAAAAACAAACAGGGACCCAGTCCACCTGAGTGGCTAGCTCAGGCGGGCAATTGGGTATTTTGAAATCTGTGCGTGGGTTCAAACCCCAACGCACCCACTGTGGTGAACAAACTTCAAATACTTAATAATAATAATA